GCTGCGGGGGTGCGGGCTCAGCCACGGCACGGGCAGCGCCAGGTCCCCGGCCGGCTCAGCTGCCCACGGGCCAGCACACCTCGCAGGAACCTCCCCGGCTTGCCACGCCAGGGCTTTTACATTCTCTCATCCCACAGCAGCACCGCGAAGATTACAAAAGCAAGTCTATTTTGTCATTGCTGCAGAAAACGAGAAGAGGCCGCAAGGTCACACTGCAGCTCCGAGAGCCTAGCAGCAGAAACGAGCATCCTGCCAGAACAACAAATATCCTCATTCTGGGAATACTGTGCTTGGGGCCACAGGAAAGCTGGCTGCAGACACAGCCCATGAACACATTCCTGCCTTACCTCTCCCGTGCAGGCAAGCGGGAGCTGCAGAGATCTGTAACTCTTTTTTAGAACTAAGATCCACGAACATACTGCAAATAAATTACTTATCCAAGTTTGTGCTTTTAAATGACTTCCGAAGTCCTCACTGCACAGCACCTGAAATGCTCTGATGGATTTAAGGTACTTTCAGCAATCCCACAGTTAGGAACATCCAGCAGCGTGGAACGGACCAGTCCCAGCCAAGGTGTCATTAGAAACCCCACCTGCGACAAGCTGGTCCTTCCACCCCCAAGGGGATGGAGTCCAAGCAGGGGTATGATCCAGACCACGCAAAAAGTGACACTGGGATTAGACTACTTACAAACTCCAGACCTTCGAAGCACGTCTCCCTGTTTCTTTGCAGAAGGAGAGAAGGGGGCCCCTGAACCACTGTTTTCGATGTTGAACTGGAAATTGGTAGCTGCTGCCTGGCTCCCAGCCCTGCTGGCAGGTAACTCTCCCCGCAGGTCCTGCTCTGCTGTGCTGAGCTACGTCCCACACCAGGCTAGGTTTGCCATCAACAAACACTCACAGAGCGGGGGAAAAAGAGGGAGCGTGATTCTCTGGAGCAATACAGTTTTTCTTAACTTTCCAAGCGCGTTGTGGGCTGAAGCAAGAGGAACCAGTGTCTCCAGGCGAGATAAGAGGTTGCTGCACAAGGCATTGAGATGCAGGGGGCTGCGCGCGTGTCCCTGAAGCCCGGCAGCCCCAAAGGAGCAGCCCGAGCCAAGCGTGCTGAGGAGGGAGGCCAGGAGCTCGCCGTTCCCCCGAGACAGGCCAGGCTCTGAAGGCGAGGAGGCCATCTCCAGTGCTGAGACATCAACACCTTCTCTTCAAAGCTGATACTCCAGCAAAAGGCCTTCCCGACGCCTGCAGCCCACGGAAGAGCAGGGCATGCTTTCTGGGAACGGAGGAGCCAGCAGCAGCACGTGCTGCACCGGGCTGCATCAACGGGGGGAAGAGACAGGGAGCTCTGACACGAGGGTCCTGCCGAATCGCTGTGTCCCACGTAACCTGCATCAAGCCCCGCAAACTAACAGCAGCAGCCCTGGAAAATGTGACAGATGCAGGATGGATGATACAGGATTGGTGACTGACACAGAAGAGCTTTGCCTGTCCCCAGGTACGCGGATGTGCAGGGAAAGGGGGACTGGAAAGCTTTTGGAGGTAAAGAATAACCCTGTCCGAAGTGCACGCCCTGGCTCTGCTTTCCCTGTCGCACCGGCCATCCCCTCACTCAGTGCATCTTTGCGGAGGCTCCCTGGGTCTCGCTCCGCTTTCTGGCTGCCAACCACCTCGTAAGAGTAACAAGCCCCGGCTACGCAGCGCGCCTCGCTCAGCGCCGCTTCCTCGGCTCCCGGGGCGGCCCCGCAGAGCACGGGCTCTCGCGAGACCCTCGCCGTCTGAGTTTCCATCTGATGAAGTGATGAAAGTCAGCCTGCGTGGTGTGGTCTCGCTCTGTGTGGGCTGTTTTACAGTCTGAGAAGTAGCTATGTAAAAATAGCACCTTCTTACTAAACAGATCTGCTCTCCGTGGGTCTGCCTCTCTCCCCCAGCAGAAAGATGTGTTTAATACCGATGCCATGGTGGCCCTGGACGCTGGGCGAGCGAGCCAGGGCACGCTGTGCCAAATCCAGTGCCAGGGAAGCCCGACCGTGCGATCCTTGTTATGACTGATGGAGGCACCAGAAAGCCCGCGACCTGCCTCTCCCTCCGCTGCGAACCAGTTGAGCTGGCAGTCAGGAGCAGCAGCTTTTTATTGGGGAAAAGGCACATTTTGATGCGGACGCTGATTAGAAAACTCCATCTGCCAGTCCCTCGCGATGCCTCCAGCGCTGCCTGCTGCTGCGCCTGCACGTGTGTTATGGCAATGCGGCTGCCTGCAAGCCCGGGCACTGGCCAGCACCACTGCTCGCACCAGCGCGATCCACGGCCATGAGGAGAACATCCTTCCCAGGAAGGACCTGGAGCTCCTGTGGAGCTCCTGAGCTCCAGCACAGTTCTCAGGTCTCCATCAGTCAGTGCTGTGGCAGAAGCAGCTCCCAGTGTCACCAGCCTGGCTCCCCTCCCTAGCAGAGCCGCCCGTCCCTTCTGATCCTTAACCCTACCAAGTACAGGCTGCTGACTATTTCCTAAAACAACTGGCTGGGCACCAGACACTTCTAGGCGACAAGCAACCCCCAGTCCTCCGAATTTGAAGCACTGAAGATGCACAGAGCTGTTTTTCTTCCCTGTATTGCTTTCCTTTTCAAACGTTCCATTTTCTAAAAGCAAGAAGGCAGAGCAGCTTTGCAATGATTATCACGTTTACGTAGGGAGAAAGCAGTCCCCTGAACCCTGCGCTCTCTCGGGGCCATCATGCGGCTGTCTGTAGCTGGGAAACGGGCTCGGGGTGTAGGACAGCAGGGCCCAGGTCCCACCAGCCCGCGAACAGTAACCAGAGCAGTAAGCAACGATTCCTGCAGTGACCACTTCTGGCATAACCCTTGGGGGGGGGCGAGACACCAATTTAGAAATACATTTTAGCTCAAGACATATTACATTTGTCTTTTGCATTATTCTGTACATTAGCTAAAAGCATTTAAGGGCAATAGTTCAGACAGTTTTTCCTAGGCTTCTGTGGGAGACAGGATACTGGCCAAGATGGATTTGTCCTGCTCTGGGATGTTTTTTATTACGAAAAAGCTTTATTAGAACAGCATCTTGGTGCGCAGTCAGGTTTGCAGTGGGAAGTTTCATTGTTCTGTCATTATCATAAAAACGGAAAATGCATCAGAAAAGTCATTTCAGCCCTGAGCTCCCATCGCTTTCCAACGCAACCCTTTGTTACTGAGGTGTGTGAATTTTGTGCTGGCAAGAGATACCAAACCAACAGCTCTCAGGGCTGAAGTTTCCATTCATCAAAACCAGGTACAGCATGGACAACAGCAGAGCAGACTTCCCTCCCTTCCCTGCCAAGACCACCTAAAAGGATGAGAAGCAGTTTAGCCTCCGCTGGCCACTCAATATTTTTAGTTGCTGCGTTGAGTTGGCCAAGAAGTCTGCCACTCGGTGCCAATTTTTAGAGTGAGCTTTCTCCTTGTTGATATACTACCTACAACGTTAGGAAAGCTGACTTCAGCGCACTGACAGCTCTCTGCTTAGTGCAGTGTTCCCCTGCTCTCTTGCCCAGAATTGCAATGCTTGGGGACAGCGGCTATTGAAATGCTAACCCTTGCTGTGATCTGCAATGAAGTGAGGAAGAGGAAGAACTGGGGCAAAGACGAGTGACCTCTGACATCTGCGAAGTGCGAGTCAAACTGAAAAATACAAACAGAAGAGGATACTAGATTCAAAAGACTCACAATCAGGCACTTTCAGGAACGAAATGTTTGTTATGTTCAAAGGCAAGAACAGTTAGTCGACCATGCTCCTGCACTTTAAGCGGCACCGCACTGCAGTCACGGCACTGCAGCGCCTTCGAAGCGGGCAAGCGGTTTCAGGCTGGCAGAATTGTTATCAACAACAAAAAACAAACACGAAAACAAACAGTCCTGCAAAAGCAAGTGAAGACAGCACAGGTTCTTTACAGCATAGCCAAGCTCAGTTAGCAGTTTCTCAGCAAGACAAACTACTTCTCATGTGGGTCTGCTTATATTAACTTCTGCAGGGTGGCACTGACGGGGACCGCAGTCGCTGTCACTTCTAACAGGGTGCCAAAGCTCTGGGAGAACACAGGCGCTGGCACACAACGCTCCGTTTAGACAGACAGTGACCTGCTGCTCTGTGGAATATATACGTTATGTTAATAATGTAGGCGTCAATGTTTTTCAGCACGTAGTGGGCTTTGGCTCTTGTAAAGTGGCTAACGTACGTCCCTGGCTGGATGGTGGATAATGTTTGGGCAACACCGTCAAGCGTTTCCATGCAAACATTCCTTTTTATTGCCTGAATCTTGGTACTGTCACCTGCTGCTAAAATGCTGTGGGTCACACAGAGGTAATTCTCAGTTCAAATTAAATTCCCTTGGACAAAGGATGTCTTGTAGATTAAATAACAGCCCGCATGGCTCACAAAGAGGCACTGCATGCCACAACCTGCAGTCTTACAGGCTGCTCTTCTCCAATAAATTTGAGAACACCACCACGTGAAACATGCTTCACGTGATGAAAAACAGGTATTGCTGAGACTCCTTGGCAGGCTGTCAGGGCCTGGGTCAAGCCAGCGGCGTTTGGGCACCCCTGCTATACTGTAAAGTCACCTACCATGAGTAAACGCTCCCCTTATTAGCTGCATCTCAATATAATGAGCAAACTCCCGGGAATTTAAGAGAAGCCTCAGAGAAAGGGCGCTGCACAGCGTCACGTCCTTGGTGCAGCGCACCAGGACACGCAGCTTGTTTGGTCCCAGAGCCTGAGGAGCGAGCACCGAGTGGTGAGCTCTGACCGCGGGACGGGGCACACGGAGAGGCTGCGTCCCTCGGCTTGGGGCGCTGAAAAGACTCTGAAGCAGGGTCTGATACGCTCCTGGGGACGTGACAAGCAGCGTGCTGCCCATCTAAACCAGCACATTGCCAGCATTTCCATCAGCAAGTCATCCTTTCTGCCTGTTCAGTATCGCAGTGCAATTCACGCTCTGGTCATTCCACTTCCCACTGGGTACCTGCGACTGCCGGCCGGCTTCCACTCCACCAAGTGGATGCGGAGTAGCTCCAGTGACTTCGGGAAAGGAGCCGAGACCTCGGCACGCTGGGAATACTGACCTCCTCTGAGTTTATATTCCTCTGACATAACAGGATACACCGAGTTCAGTAACCCCAACGAACAAAACTGCACGCGGAGATGCAGAGGCACAAAGCTAATACCATCCAAACCCAGAGAAGAGCGGAGGCTGGGGAATCCTTTTATTATTTACACTTTGCTTTCAAATTCCCTGGGGCAGGGACAGATTTCCTGTTAAATGGTTACACTCTGTCCAGCACTGTGGGCCCATGGGGTCGGCCACAGTATGCTACAACTCTTCTTTTACAAATTCATGTGGCAAACTGAATTTTGGAGCTGAGAGGTGGATACAGGGCTTCTGCATGGCTGGGAATCCTTACTGGCCAGATTCCTTCCTTCTGGAATGCCCTCTAAAGGAACTGCAAATAGACGAGAGAAGCACAGTATCGCTTGTAAAATGTGGGGGTAAGAGAGCATCAAAAGAAGAGGAAGCGAGAGCCCTTTCTTTTAAATCGTTCTAAGAAGCTTTCTAAGACGAAGCGTGGAGCTCAGTCTCCGCAGGGGCAGGGGGCAAATCTTTTCTGCGTCCTTTGCCTGCTTCTGCACAGCCTGCGAGAGTCCTTAATAATTCAAAGACACTCTCGACAGCACTTTTTTTTTTTCTTTTTTATTACCTTTTAAATGGCCAGTTTCAGCTTCTGATGAGCTGTGCAATAAAATCTGTCTCTTTTTAAGGACAGCTGGTATTGGTGAGATGGATTGCAGTGCCCTGGACAGGTCTATAAATAGGTGAAGCTACAGACAAACATCTCCTCCAAGGCCAAGAAGAAGGAGTAAGCAGGCATCTCCTGACTCTGCGTGACTCTGAGGCGTAGAGACAGCAAACCCTGCTCCATTGCGCTGCCAACAGGCTACAGACCCTGCTGTGGTGGGACAGCCTTCTGTACTCTGTACTCACTGTGTAATGTTAAAGGAAGAGGGCTTCTTCCACAGGGTTTGTCCCTTCTCCATCTAGAGCTATGACACTACAGCTCTGAAAAGTGATAGCTAACAGAATTAATTAGAAGGGAAGTGCACGTCACACTATCACCTTGGGTGTGTGCGACCGTAGGAGCCTTCTGGCTAAAGGAGCTCTCTGCTGCTTTCCAGGACCCTGAAACTAAATGTGTCTTCTCCAAATTGCTTTTATACTTTAAGGACAGAAAGTCTGTCCTGGCATTCAGAGGGAAGACCTTAATTCTGATACTCCGTTTTCCCCAGAACAGGGAGAACAGGAAATGGCCGAGATCTGAGAAGTGGCTGAGATCTCAATATGGTCAAGGGAGAAGTTCTTGGCAGTTTGATAAGGACAAACAACTTTCTAGTTTTTCATCCCAACACTCGCAGTTGCATCTGTGAGCACCGTGTGGTGATAAAAGACACAAGGCTACACATCTGATCCCTAATAAAAAGCTACCCATCAACTTTCAGCCTGCCATCCACTGAGTCCAGCCTATGTTCGATGCAAGCTGTGTCCCAGTGAATAAAGCGGCTGAGTGGGAGAATCTATTCACCATGTCTAGAACTAGGTGGGCAAACGACAGTTTAATGCAAAGCTTCCTCCCTTATTAATTCGGAGGGCAGCTGGGACAGGCAAAAGCAGAGGACAGCACAGGGCAGTGCTATAGTGCACGCTGCCAGAGCAGGCTCATGCAGAAATGCTGCCCACAGCGGTTCCAAGTCTCACCTACAAGTGAACCCACTGGGATTAAAGCTTCTAGCAAGCGATACTGGAAGCCGCCTGCGCGATCAGCTGCCTTTGGACTGCAAATACAACGCAGAAGCTTTTATACCGTAGGATGTGCTGGGCCTGAGATGAAACAGCTGATCGTACACTGACTCATTCCTACGCTGGAGGAGCAGGCAGTTTGAACAAGCCCTTATTTTTAGCACAGTAATTTTTACCCGTTCTTATTTTGGTTTCCCACGTGGCCCCTTGCAGCAGAGTGTTGGGTCCCCCACCCAGGGGGTTTGATTCTGTGCCTGGGGTCGGGTGATGGGATACACTCATTGCTCCAAGCAGAACAGGAATGGGAGAACAAAAGTATCTACCCTGGCACTTGCAGGAAGGGCTGCGGTCAGAGCCACAGGTGAGCTCCTTGGACAAACGACCACATTTGCTTCCAAAGCTGGCTGGAAGCCCAGGTTGCTAGCATCTTTAAAGCTTAACATTACAGAGCGGCGGGATGGCTGGCAAGACCTGAGCTGGGCCGGTCTCAGCACAGCACTTACTTGTCGAGGCAGGCAACGCTGAGGCACTTTTCCTGGGGCTGAGGCTGTGTGGTGCTGTCGCCGGCTGCAGCGGTCGTAGTGCTGGGTTCATTCTCCTGCAGGATGGAGTCAATGAACGTGGAGGGGGACAGAGGAGTTTCAACAGCAGGAGGGTTCCCTGGGCTGGCCTCCTCTATCTGGGGGCTGCGGGCGGGACTAGGGGGTTCTTCTTTGATACGGACCACAGGACTACTCCTGAGAGAAACAGAAAGAAAACTGGTAAAAATCTCACACTAACACGTTCTTGATTTGTGAGATCTGCTTCCACACAAGAGGGCAAAAAATCCTGGTGACTGCTGTTGCCTTTTCACATACAAAGCCTCCAGAGTCAGCTACAAAGATGAGGTTGAACGAGTACCTAAATATTTCTTCTCTGATTCTGATCCTAATCAGCTCCCCTGACACATCAATGTCTTGCGCTATTACTGCAATCTCAGCGTATTTCTTGTGGCTAAAGGTTTGTGAGGCTGCTCAGTCCAGGACCTGCCATGCAGTCAGCTCTGTATAGGTAAAGTTATTGGAAGGAGGGTGTGATTTTTCTCGTAACAATACAGTTAAAACAATACAGCTTTTGATGTGGACATAGTCTAAGTAGTACAGAAGTAGCACAGTGTATATACCCTTTTTTAAAGTCACCACGGAGACATGCATGACATAATCACCACCACAGCAGAGGCTGTAGTGTTTTAACTGCTCCCACAAGGTCAGCGGAGTGACTCCTTTGTGCAGACAATGCCTGGGATCGACCTTTTACATAAGCACCCAGGCATTTTCAGATGCACTATTTTTATGGGAAGGGAAGATAGCTTCTTTGGTCAGCCCTAATTCTACCACCCAAACTCACTGATTTGGGGGTGTAAGAGGCGCTATTAGTCCTACTGGAAAGGACAGCAACTACAAAAGGACAGAGAGAAGGGCCATTAAGCAAACATATGGCCTATATTAAAGAGCCAGTGTTCCTGGCAGAGGGTATTAAAGGCAATAAATGGCATTTGTGGGTGATTCAGCACCTCAGGGGAAGTGCCAATGCCAGGAATAACCTATTAAAGAGGAAGAAAAAAGGAGTTGGTAGACCACAAGGTGCTAAGGAAAGATGGGCCCTTCTTGCCCGGGGAGGCTCAGAAAGTTCCAGAGCCGCTGAAGCTTGGTGGGAGCGGGGCTGCAGGGAGTAAGGGCTGAACAGCGATGCAGCGAGAGGCTTCCGCTGACGCGGAATGGCGTCGGCAGAGGCACACAAGGCTGAGTATTACCTATGGCATCTGAGGACAGCTCTCATCTCTGCTAGGGCCTGTAAATCTGGAGGAGTTAAAAACACTGCTGCAGGGCGCCGGCTGAGCTGTATTTGATAGTTCTCAGCCTCCTCACCCGTGCTGTTTGGGATAGAGCTGCCATTGTTATTCTCAGTTACTTGAGAAGGAAGCTGCTTTCTGCACCTCCTCCTCTGTGCAGCAAGTTTATAAGGGCAGGGCAAAGCTAACCCTGCTCCCAGGATGTTGGTAATTTCACAGGACGGAGCAGACGGCTTCCTTGGGGAAACCAAACTGTGACCCACCCCGGACAGGTTCACACTAGACGGGGCAGGCAGAGGAGTGAGTGTTGTTTGGAAAACAGAATTAAAGCTGAACAAAACCAACCAACCAAACACAAATCTGCTGAGATGGCAGTGTTCTGAATGAGACTATCCTGGAGGGACAGGTCAACTTTCTGTGAAGTCCCGGTAAGGTAAGCAGGATTGAGTTCAAACACCCTGAACGTTCCCTGTACCAAGGGCTGCGCTGTTCTCCAGCTGTCGCTCACGGGGGATTCTTAACAGAAAAGGCATGTCACAACGGTGTTCGACTACTCAGCACATTGGAAAACACATTCTCCCTATGCAGATAGCTTCAGATTTTACGAGAGCAATGGCATACCTTTCATCGAGACTGCCGCTGGGAGATGCTGAAGGGCTGGACTGGGCTAGCTCGGTCACGTCAGAGATAATGGGACCAGAGTTGGCTGAAGAATCCGGGGAATACAGGTTGGAGCCACTATATGCTGGGGAAGAAGCCTGAAATGACAATCACAGCATTCGCGGCGTGAAGCACTAGGCACGTACCGTACGCTATCCCACGTATGGGAGACGGAGCGGGAGGAGGCACATCAGAACAGTCCAAAACCCTGACCCACCCAAGGAAGAAGGTAATGTGGGACTCAACACGATGCCTGGAAATACACTGTTGCCAGCCCAAAGCACTACTAAAAAAAATAAAATTGGAGTTCTGTTCTGTAAACTTCATTTTCTTGGAAATAATGGAATTTTAAAAGTAAAAATATTGGATTCTTTTTCTGGATCATTCAACACATGGGTTTTCAGAAGCCCAGATTTTCAGCTTTCCCCTTCCACTAAAACTCCGGGTTTTTTTTCTTAAATGAAAGCTGAAATTCATACGACTGAGACCTACAGATATACAAGATTTCCATGCTGGTAACAGCAGCATGGAATGGCTGCATTTTGGTATCAATCTTGCTAAGGAGCAAATTAATTGAGACAATTTGAGTGAACCTGAACCCCCTTTTCTCTTTGTGTGTCAGCGTTTGTCAGTCCAGGACACAAAGCAAACTGCAGATTAGAAGATGCACCCAGGAGTCAGAAAACCACGGGGGATGAGGAGAATACAGGGTAAGAGAGATTCTGCTTAAATTCTCAGAGCTGCCCTTAGCTTTGAGCTGACCCATGACCTCACTCACTCTCCTCCTCCGGAGCGACCTCCTGACACTTCAGACAGTCGGTGACGGCAACACTGAGTGGTAGCCAGAGAAAACCCTGGTCCGTCCTTACCTTCAGATAAATATTTTACTGTCTCTCCTTTAATGCTTGCCTGTACTGCACACACTGTAATTAGGCTTACGCCAGCACCACGTTAACCTTCTTGATCACCGCTTAGCACAGACAAGACCACAGTGCAGATACGCCCCCTCAGCTCCCTCATAATTAAAAAGAATACTAAAGAATAACCAAAAATAATTCCATCTCACTGCATGCCAGGTGGTACCCAGGGACACGCGGAGATGCTCTGCAGACGCTCTGCCCGTAGCTTGCCTTGAGAGGCTGGATCCCCACTGCCGTATGCACGAGCCTCCTGCCCGGTGAGGAACCCGTCCTGTGAGCAGGAGCACTTCTGCCTGGCGCTGCGCTCACCGACACTTCAATAAAACAGGCAGCCACCGATTTGAAACTTTTATAAAACCTGAAGTGCCAGCTGTGCGCAGCATGTGCACTGAGGAGCGTGCAGACAGCACGCTGTCCTTGTAACGCGTGACTGTGCCCTGTTCTGGACCGTGACTTTTGGGCTACCTGTTGTTTCTGCAAGTCTGAGGTTGCGTTCTTGAGCAAAAAAGGGCATGATGATGTGGCAGTAGTTACACAGATGCAGAATCACCGGGGGGACAGAGCGAGCTGCTACTTTGCAGCAGTGATGCGAGATCAAGTCCCCATGAGTGGCACAGGACTGATCTCGGCTATGTCGCCGTCAGGACTGCCCACGCCTCACCCCCACTAAGGTCTTATGCCACGTTAACTGTCTTCTTGTGAAAACACAATTTTTTTTTTCCCTGCCAAAGCAGGGACTACGGCGCGTCAGGATCCAGCGTACTTCTTGGCAGCTCGCTCTGAAAAATTGCCCAACTATCGTTCCTCAGTTCTGTTTGGAGCTGAAAATCATAAACACGAAAGTATGAGAAAAGATGACCACCTGTGTTTCCCATAATTGGGACAATCCGGTAATACCTGGAAGAGCTCCCGGTGGTTCTGTGTAAGTATTTGCTGCAAGAATAAAGGCACTTTTAAGAAAGAGATCACAGGATTAGACGGGAGCTGGAACGGGAACAGAGAGCTTCCACAGAGGGTGGTCTAACTGCAGGAGAGCTCTTTAATGGGGCTTAGCTATTTTGGTTCTCTGCTAAAAAATTCATCAGGATCACCTTGGCACACCAGGGCAACTCGATGTCAGGAGCCAGCGGCTTGAATCCGCTGTCCCGAACAGGACGTCCCTGCAGCAGCTCGGGCAGGATTGTACCCTGGAATTGGGGACAGCTTTTATTTTGCTACAAACAGCTGGTATGAAAGCTTAGCTATGTTCCCAGCTGTAAAGCCTTGCTCCTGGACTACAGCGTTGCCAGAGGATCAGTATAAAGCAGCACATTCATTCACACAACAGCTCTGGCCAAGAAACACCAGCTGGCTTTCCCATGCCCAGCAAACAGGGGTGCCGCAGACCATGAGAGACGCCCCGAATTTAAGTGGTGCAGTTTCCCAGGGCGCACACTGATACGAACCACATCCAACAGAGCATCTAAAATGAAAACAACCATGTCAAGGCATGAGATTTAGTGGATTAGCATAGGCCTGAGGTGATTAAAAGCAAACAGTGACCAAATGTGTCACACCTCTCCTATCAGCAGCAAGTGCTGAGCCAGCCAGCTCGCCCTCAGGGAGTGCCATGAACGCGGCTTTCCAGCTCTTAGGGCACGGATGAGTCTTCCAATTCTCGTGGTAAGTCAGAGCCCACAGTTTGAGACCTGCACGGCATGAAGACGGGCAGTTCTCGGTATTCAAAGCATCGCGCAGTGTCACGACAAGAGGGTTTCTGTGCGGGCACACTGCAGCTATCAGGTCGAAAGGGAAACAGCAGTATGAGCGACCCCGCTCCCCTCCTCTGGCTTACGAGGCTGAGCAGACTCAACACGTACAGGCCTGGGAGCAAGTCTGTAGCTCATCTGCAAGGGGATTCAGGGCCAGCATTAATGGGTTCGGAGGAGACTCCGTGTGTTCACTGGCCATTGAACAGTCAGGGGAAGCAGCTCACCAAAAGGTGCGTAGAAGGATGGGAGAGTATAGATAAAACGTCAGGATTCATCGGGACCCAGCAGCGATCTGAAGGACGATCCGGAGCACGCATTTACAGAGACTCCTCCTATAAAGCCTTGTCACTGCGAGGCCACCTCCTGCAGGCAGGCGGGTGAGGTGCACCCTGGAGCTCACAGTGGGATGACTGCATGGCATTCACCACCGTAACGAGGCCAAGGTCTGAACAACATCCAACCACAAACTCGTTTCTTCTGGACTATACATTGACGACGCCTTGCAGGAGATCCCTTCACCTCAAAAGCTACTTCCTGCTCTCTCATCTCAAGTCTTTAACACCACACAACTTGACTTATTTTGGGGATTATTCTGTGCACAAGCACCAGTTGGCTTTGCTTCGCTCTTCCCACCTTGCTCCCTACCTCCACGGACACAATTCAGCTCTGATCACTTGGGTCTTTGCTACTTCAGGCCTGTGTCTCAGCCAAGCTCTGACCCACGGCACCTTCCCTGACCGAAAGGAGGCTTCTTTGCAGGAATAATGCTAATTATGCATGGTCACACATTAATTAGGCAATACGAGCAAATGTTTAGCAGGGATTGACTGACATCAGATGCGTTTTGTTTGTGACAAAACCAAAATGTGGACCAAGTCAGCAGATGTAAGCTAAGCAAGAAGGCACCACTTCAGCCCATCTCTGCTTTCAGTGGAATTCAGGTAACTCCTCGCTTGGCCTGCAAGCCAAATCCTCGGCCCCATCACAACTATCGTTGAGAATTACTGGCTAACAGCTCTCTCCCCGTTGGCTAAGCTAGAATGCAGCTGCCACCTTAAAATACTTTGCCAAACAAAACAAAGAGGTTGTGAGCGAACGGTTGTACAAAGGCAAGACCAGCTGGAGAAGAGCCTAAAATGGGTCCCTCCCCATGAAGGTGTGTCCTCGTCCCCCTCCCCAAGGCCCAGCGGGCACAGCATACTTACTGTGTATGGGGATGAGCCGTGGACGTGCTCCAGGGAGTACTGGCGACTGTATTTCGGCATGGAATGTGCTGAACTGCTGTCGTTCAACATCAGGGGGCTACAAAAGATTCCCAAACACCACAGGAGTTACCGCGCTGCCAGCACCGGGTCTCGGGCACCACCTCTCCCCGGCAGAGCCCACTGCCCCAACCCCAGAACTGGGTACTTGCACCACCCGAGGGGCCAACGCACAACCGTCCCCAGGTCTGGAAGCCCTGGAGGGTCCAGTGGCCACGGGGGGTGGTTGTGTCAGTACAGCAGAGCAGGCAGCCCCACCACACAGAGGAACACATGAGCCCCCGTGACCCACCCCTGGGCTACATTTGGCAAGTCTATTGAGCAGAAATGTAAAACCTCAGGCCTCAGAGGACTTCTTTATAGTCCCTGGTCACCTCCTTCCGCAGGCCTGTATTGTCAGTGCTCTGCTTGGCTTCACTTCTCCATGGCCAACTGCTCCAGAGATGGATTACTTGTGGTCAGCTGTGACACAACCACTTCTGTGGCCCTTTTCATGTACTTGAGTACTGTGGAGAAACTCTTTCTCCTTACAAGATAAATCATTTCAGCATGTCTTGGACATTATCACTATATAAACCACTATCTTCATTAATAATAATCAAGCCTGCTGTGGTGTTGTCTGCCATATGGTGCTGCTGGGCACTGTTCAAACACAAAAGGACAGCCTTGCAATTCGACAGGCAACACGGGACAAGGTGGGGGCAGGAACAGGCACACAGCAGAGTATCTGCCAGTTCACATGTGAACAAGTGCAAAAAATCCGGTGGAGGAGGAGCCCATCTCACAGGATGACGCTGGAAGAGCAGGGCCCGTTCAGCCTAGCGGAGTGTCAGATGAGACACAACAGCAGAACCATCTGCAAAAGCTAAGGAGGGAAAAGTAACTGTGCTACAGCACAATCCTGGGACAAAACCAACTATTAACCGGCCAAAACAAATTAGCCTGGAATTGTTCTTAATCGCTTACGGTACTTAAGTACTGAATGGTCATCCAGCACAACTAGCAAGGGGCAAAATAACGCAGAGCACATTTGAGGACAGGCTTGATTAGTGTGTGAAGGTGTCACACACTCTGTGACAGGTCTGGATGGTCCAATGTCTGCCTTGCTGTATAACGACAGAAATATCATGGCAGTGCCAGGAGACTACTTTAGCAGTGCAAGACCCCAGCCCTCACTGCGTATGCTGCCACAGTGCAGTGGTTAGGTTCTGCACGGGCTTATGTGGCCTGGATCGCAAACCCTTCTTGATACCAGTTGCATAGCAGTGTTAGCTGGTTTTGGCTGGAGCAAGTACTTGAAGGCTCACATGATCCCAATGACCGCTGTCCAGTCCTACCCCACTGGCAAGGCTGCTACAGAAGACAGAGATCTGGGGGACCCACTCTGCTGATCCTCTCTTTATTCTCTCAGACAGGGAATCTTTATCTGGATGTAGAAATGCAGACTTACATCTTCCTCTTCACCCCAAGAATACGGTTGGATTGCACCAATGAAATCAAAAACTGGATAAGCTGTGAGGAGAAAGAAGGAAAACCTGTTATGGTGTGCACAGTACTTCGATAAGCACGGACAGAAACAGCTCTGGGACCACTCGGTCCCTGTGCTCAGAGCCGAGCCAGAGCTGGGCACAGGGGACACGGCAGAGTGCTGACTGCAACTCTAAGCACAAAGGTGAAGGCTAGGGGTAAAACCATTACGTGGCAGCCAACTGAATTCTGCATTGCAACACTGCCAGCCCAAATTTAGCTTCTCCCCGCTGGATTTCCAGAATCTCATGGCAACAGGAAGAAAACACAGTGATCAAAATTATTCTTAAACAGAATTAATGCCACTGCATCCCACCGATCCTGCAGGTGCCCAGCCTGGTCACTACATCACCGCATACACCAACACAAGAGCATCCCAATCCCTCCGTCTGGAGGACCAGGATTTACCTTATTGACAACTTTCTGCTGCTGAGCGTGCTTCTGCCTCAAGCTGGCTACTTCCCTCCACAACGCCTCATTCTCACTGCAAGAGAAGAAAAAGCCATCTGAGAAAAAAAAGCAGCCTCTCAGGCAGAGCAAATAAAGCACGGGGCAAGCTGGAAAACTGCAGCAGGGGATTTGCCGACATCTCCAGATACTGGCTCATTTACAACCTCCTGGGGCTGCGGGTGAAATTGTGTTCATTAACTTTGCTTTGCCATCATTTTAGCTTGCACGGCTCCAGAAGCAGCAGCTATTCACACGTGGGCAGTAACACAGAGCCTTACCAGAGAGAGCGAGCAGTTCACATCTGCTACAAACCATTACTGTGCCCTTGTGGAAAGGCCCCTGGTGACCGAGCTCAATCGCCTTGATCTAGCCCAGGTGCACACAGGGCCGGTTATAAATCGGCTTCTCTAGAGACCCGGGGGGGGGAAGCCCAGGAGGAGCAAGCTCCGCACCCGGGCAGAGACCTGGGCTGCGTCGGGATGGAGTGTGGGCTGCACAACCATTGCACCGAGGAGCTGCACAGCACCTACCCCTCAGATTTTCTCCTGCAGCAGCAATTCCCAAACTCTACACACTTTTTAGAACTCCATATTTGGCTTTTCTATGCATATAAATGAAAACAGCAATGAGCGGGTTTGTGTGTTCTGTGAACATAAAAGACAATGGAGAAATTAGCAATAAACCTGCAACGTTTTCTCTTACTCTTAAAGCTACCAGACTCCAAGGAGCTCATAGGTGATACTGTTTAATTTTTACGTTTATGTGACCACAGCACTGATATGATCTCAATGCCAGAGAGTTACTCCGCAAGCAAACCAGCCATTTCAAGCTTTTTTTGGGGAACACTCCCCCCCACCTTTGTGGGATCCTGGCTGCTCAAGCTACAATCTCCCTTTCAGATTTTAATTCAGAGACTTTCCCCTCGGGAGGGTTTTGAACTAGCGGTGACAATCCAGAAGAGGCTAGATGGCTTCCCTTGGACTTGAGGGAAGAAGAGCAGGGTGATGGCGCCTGGCAGAGCCCACCCAGAACGGGGCAGCCAGAGGCCCCCGCTTGTACTCGATTACGATACAAGGGCAAGACGAGCCCTCGGCAGACCAAAAGGGTGGGTGACAAACACTCAGAGAGGGAAAACGCACAGGGAATCACTCCAACTTTCTCAAAACAGGCTATCGCTTGCAGATGCATCAAAAACATCTGAGCAAAGAAAGCGTTCCCCCTCGGAGGGGACAGTCACCCCCAGCTGCCTGCTTGCCCGCAGCAAGGGGTGAGCTTACAACTAAGGGGCTGCGTTTCGGCTACGGCGAGGAGCGGTCGGTGCTTTCGGCAGCAAACCCAGGGTGTCCCTAAAGGCAGCAGCCTGGGGACGCGAGGGGCCCCGGGGGTGGGAGCCGGTGCCTGGCTGGGGAGATGGGGCTGCCCTCGTATCGACGGGTACAGCTGCGGTTATCTCAGCTGCACCACCGCTCCCCACGCACCAGCTGCCAATTACGCGCACGGAGGATTGCTGCTCCGGGCCCCAGCGGGGATTTGGGGAGGTCTGTAAATTAGCCAAGCTTTCCTCGGCACAGACCATCTGAACACGGCTCCTCGATTCGCCTCGGGACAGAAAGGCGCATCGAGAAATTGCCGGGCCCCGGTGTTAGAAAGGGAAGAGCCGCAGCCCTGCACCCGCTGCCGAAATCCCGAGGGTCCGAGGCAGAGAAAAAAAGTGTGGATGAGGCTGTCCTGCCACCACCGGCCGCTGCTCGTGCCACACCTGAGCCACGCGAAGAGGTCGAGGTCTGGCGGATCAGAGCCAGTGATGTATCATGAAAGGCAAAGAAAGAAGGTGGTAACTGCTCATTAGGCAGCGGGAGAGAAACAGCTGGACACAAGGTCCCCAAAGGGTTAAACTGATCTGAGAGCAGCAAAAAGCCCCTTTAATACTTTTTTTAGCATACTGTTTTATGAGGCAATTAAATGCCGGTGAAGAGTTTACAAGGGCCAGTTTCAAACATTTCATTTCGGGAGTTATTAAAAGATCTTTGAAGCGTTTTGTTTATACAATATTTTACAGGACTGCATAAACCGGACCCCGCTCCACACCTGCCTCTCTTAAACCCCTGCTCCTCGGGGACACCCTGCGTGCCGTCCCTCACCCTGCGCAGCCGGGACATTTCTGAAGCCGGGGACGAGGTCCGGCAGCCTTAGGAAAAGGTTTGTGGCTCAGGTCCATGAAGGGGCATGCCTCTCGAAAGCAAAGACATGGGACTCCTCTCTTCTGCAGTGCGTGGGACTGGCTGACGAGCGAAGGGCTGCCTGTCCCCGGCGCCCCCGGGACCCGCTGCTCCCCCATCCAGAACAAGCACGCGCCCATCTCGGCTGGAAACCTGCCTGGGCGGCTGCGTGCTGGGGGGAGCACGGGGTCCGCAGGCAGAATCCCCAGCTAGATGTGTATCTTCCCCCCACAGACAACCAGTCTCCCCCAGTTTGAGACCGGAGCTGACGTGGGGCCGTTCAGAGGGAGCGGGCGCCTTCTCGCCGAAGCCCAGGGGCTCAGGACGCCCGCGCACTTCTGCCAGACAGAGAATGACATTTGTTATCTCCCGAAGCCAGGAGAGACGCTCATTTATCACTGCGGCTGTACAAGGGTCCTCAGGAGAAACGTCCGTCCTGCTTGAAAAACAGCCTTTCCAAAGAGCTTTAATTACCAGTATACACTCAGGAAAATGGTCGTTACTCTCCTTTCAGATAAAATTACTCTCGGTAAAAGCCGCGCTTGACTTCACAGCTAGCAATTTTTGAAATAAATGACTATTTTTTATCCAATATTTCGCAATTTAAAGAAAATGCAGTCTTGCAAGCTGTCACACACTCATTGGGGCTGTGCTGCTGCTTGGCATTTTTCTTAAAACCAGGGTTTTACAATCAGGTAATTACAGGAGAGAGTCATCTTACTCTGTTTGAAGGTAAACTCCAGTACTCAGGTGCAGAAAGAAGATTGCACCATATACACTCACCAAGAGTGTGCATCGAAAAAAACCCTCAATTCAAGTTTTTTAAAGCTCCTGCTTTGGGGGTTTGAACCCTGGAGACTCACGCTAGAAAATACATGATTTTCAACTGCAGCATGCGACCGTGACCGTATAGGAACACACTTGATGCCTGCAGAGTTTGTATTTGCACTTTCTTCTGTCCTACAATATTTTTATCTCCTGCCACAAGGTTCTTCCGAGTTTATTTAGAATTGGCATTGCAGCAAGCAATGGATTCCTTCATCATGCAGAACACAGATGTTCTAGTACTTCAGACAACAGCGTGTAGAAAATAAAACTGGATTTTAATCCAGCAAACCAATCAAGATCTGAAGGGTCCTGCTACATCCGTATTTGTTTGAAAAAAACCAAATGGGCAAAGATCTTAGGCAAAGTATGGGTCCAGAGCAAAGTTTAGGGTCACAGATACTACGGCCTCACCCAAATTTCAGAGGAGCGGCAGTTTTCCAGCCCTCTTCATGCAACCTGCATTTTCACGCAGGGCGATGCATCCTGTACAGCACTGCGCCTGCCAGTTACATATTCAAACGGTTTAAAGGCGTATCAGAACGAAGTGAGGGTGGCTTTAGCCTTTGAGAGCAACACTGAACCCTGTCACTGGGGCTCTTAATGCACACCCATGGATGATCTCAAAAAGGGCAGAAAGCCGGGTAATCTATGTTAGTTATGGCAATAAAAATGAGTGAGAGCAATACACTGTGGCAGATGAAAATTACCCGGAAAAATATGAAGCAGCACACATACGGAAAACCACAGCCCTGAGCGGAGCGGTGCTGCGCAGAGAGACGACCGTGACACGATAAATGAGCGGTTCTGTAAAGCACCGACCCGGTGCCCCACAGCAGTGAAGTCAAAAGACAAAGCGAAGGCGAACAGGCAGCAACTGTTCCCTCTCCCTTCTGATTTGAGGCTAGGGATATCAGCTGAAGTCAGCAGCTGGCAGATTCAGTACAAACAAAGGGACACGGTTCTCCAGACACCACGTAATTAAGATGCAGACCTCTGCTGCCAGATCCCAGGAGTCATCGGACAAAATCACACAAAGAAAAACAAATCTACTGAGGACCATTAAGGACCAGGGCATCACCTGTATCTCAGGAAGCCCCTAACCCACAACGCTGGTGCCAGGAGATTGCTCCAGGAGAGCAGCGCGACGTGCTTGCCTTGCTCCTTTCCTCCTGCCCTTTGCGAACGGTCTCGTCAGAAACAGAGCTGGAAGATCAGGACCTTTGATTCGACCTTGTAATTTTTAAGTCCTTACTCCACACCTGTGAAACTCCTGTCTGCAGTTAAATCCTGACTCGGACCTTTCCTGCGGCGTCTTGCAACCTATCACTCTTCTTTGCTCGAACTGATTTTTAGGCTATTGTTTTAAGATCAATACCTGAGCTGTCAGTTCCTGGGCTTTCGGGACTGTGCTGCCATCCGCGATACCCAGAGGAAGATGCGTCGGACTATGCAGGCGAGCGCAAGAGGGCAGGGTTCAGATGCCTCGAGGTACAGTACCTCCCTGGGGAACAGGCACATAAGGGAAGGGGTCAGAGGCAGAGCTTAGGGCAAGCCAGACTAGCAAGGCAGAGATCGGGACGTGCAGGATGAGGCACCGAGCAGAGGCGTTCATTCCCTGCAATACCAGTTGTCCGGTGGAAGGAAGCAGCTCTATCTTAGTTCGCACTAAATCAGCTACTAGACTAAAAAGCTATTTTGAATCCTGGCTCGAGTGCTATCAATCTTTAATCTCCAGCAGGTATAACCTTTGGGGGGATTCACTCTTGGAAAAGAGTGAATAGCTGTAAATGGCTCTTGCTTTAGAGTCTGGAAATAGCTCAGGAATATGGAATATTAATGACTGCCCCCACCAAGAGAGATTATCTGCATTCTGCTGACTAAACAGGGATGCAAACCAAACACAGCCATCAAACGGGTATCAGCACTGCTTTTGCCTTCTTTTTATTATCCCAGTGAGCTTATAAGAGAATGCAGCATTTCATTTCTG